TATCTTAGAACAAATGTCAACTTACAGACTGCATATAAGAACCACAGACAATGCATATAAACTATATTTAATAACCATTATGTATAGACCTACGTACCCTATACAGACTGTACGTAAGAACCAGACAATACTTACAGACTGTATCTAAGTACCACAGACAATACTTACAGACTGTATCTAGGTGTGTCCATCACTCTAGACCACTCTGCCACCTAGACTGATATATATATATATATATATACTGTTATTGCATTTGATTTGAAAAGATGAAGCTTGTTTGTGTAGCAGATTTACTGACAATCCACTTTAGATAGACTTTGAATTGAAACATTATGACCCTACTCCAGTAACAGTACATGTAAGGGTTCTGTTTAAAAACAACTAATATTTTCCCTCATTATTTCTGGAAATATTCAAGAATGTATTTGAATATTTCATATTTCATACTGGTTTATCACGACCAGCGTTAAGAATTGTCATACATGTAACATCAACCAATTTATTGGTTAGAATACCTTTCTCTATACTTACTTGGACAGTTGAACCATCTTAAAATTAGATGCAGCTTGTAGATTCTACCAAAACCCATAAAAACATATGGTGTATACTGATCAAATATAACAGCAGCCACTCATAATATTCTAAGGGGTTTTAGTTATTTATTCAATAACCTGTAAATTGTAACATGTATTTCAATAAAAAATATAAGTGGTACATAAACTTTAAAAAATCAAAACCCCTTTTAAATACTGTAGAAGTGTTTTATTTTAGCAATAATTAAAGTGTAAGCAATTGTCAGGCTTGTTTTATTTTAATTTGAAATTGAGGAAGCAGTATCTGAAGAAGTGATTTTTATGTTGAACATCAGGTAATACATTATATCCAAATGTGAATAAAATTTTATTAGAGACAATCTGATTTATTATAGCACTTTCACAGTATTTAAAAAATAAGCTAAACAAAAAACAAGATGTAACAAAGATTTCATCAATTATAGTACATACAAACAGCATGAAAAAAAAAAAAAAAAAAAAAAAAAAAAAACCACATGAAAAAAAACACAATACTGTACCGTCTACCTGCAGTTTAAGGATCTGAGCAGTGAAAACTGCTGGTGTGTCAAAGACACACCTTGCTATCCAGCAGGAATTAACTTGCAGATACTCTAGTACTGTAAACCCCTCCCCCCTTGGTTCTCTTCTGTATACTGTAAATACATGCTATATACTTATATAAAATGTACTCAATGAAATCAACAACAAAAATATATTACATTTTGATACTAAGGGACATTTAATTGACAAAATCATTGACAGGCTAACAAAAAATTACAACTGTACTTACGACAAAATATACTCAATAAAATCAACAACAAAAATTTGTACTTAATAAACAACAAAAATATAGTACATTCTGATACTTACGGACATTTTACCAAAAATAAATAACATTATGATACTAAGGGGCATTTAACAACAACAAAAATCATTGAATGCTGACCAAAATTTACAACTGTATTAAAAAATGTACTTAATGAAATCCAAAAACAAAAATATACATCATTATGATACTAAGGGACATTTGACAAACAAAGAGTCATTTAACCGATTAAATATATACATGTAGAAGCATAATACTAAGGGACATTAAACCAAAAAATATATGATACTATGATATTAAGGGACTTTTAACAAACAAAGAAGGATTTAACCCAAAGATATATTACTTTATAATACTAAGGGAGATTTAACCAAAACATATATATGATACTATGATATTAAGGGAGATTTAACCCAAAAATATTTATTACTTTATAATACTAAGGGAGATTTAACCAAAAAAATAATACTAAGGGAGTTTAACCAAAAAATATATGGCACTATGATAATAAGGGATGTTTAACCAACAAAGAGAGATTTAACCAAAAAATATATTACTTCATAATACTAAGGGAGATTTAACCAAAAAATATATGATACTATGATATCAAGGGAGATTTAACAAACTAAGAGAGATTTAACCAAAAAATGTATTACTTTATGATACTAAGGGACATTTAACCAAAAAAAAAAAGACACTATGATATTAATGGACTTTTTACAAACAAAGAGAGATTTAACCAAAAAATATTTTACTTTATAATACTAAGGGAGATTTAACCAAAAAATATATTACTTTATAATACTAAGGGAGATTTAACCAAAAAATATATTACTTTATACTAAGGGAGATTTAACCCAAAAAAGACACTATGATATTAATGGACTTTTAACAAACAAAGAGAGATTTAACCAAAAAATATATTACTTTATAATACTAAGGGAGATTTAACCAAAAAATATATTACTTTATAATACTAAGGGAGATTTAACCAAAAAATATATTACTTTATACTAAGGGAGATTTGACCAAAAAAAAGACACTATGATATTAATGGACTTTTAACAAACAAAGAGAGATTTAACCAAAAAATATATTACTTTATAATACTAAGGGAGATTTAACCAAAAAATATATTACTTTATACTAAGGGAGATTTAACCAAAAAAAGACACTATGATATTAATGGAGTTTTAACAAACAAAGAGAGATTTAACCAAAAAATATATTACTTTATAATACTAAGGGAGATTTAACCAAAAAATATATTACTTTATAATACTAAGGGAGATTTAACCAATATATATATATATATATTAAATACTAAGGGAGATTAACCAAAAAAATATATGATACTATGATATTAAGGGAGATTTAACAAACAAAGAGAGATTTAACCAAAAAATATATTACTTCATAATACTAAGGGAGATTTGACCAAAAAATATATGATACTATGATATTAAGGGAGATTTAACAAACTAAGAGAGATTTAACCAAAAAATGTATTACTTTATGATACTAAGGACCATTTAACCAAAAAAAAAAAGACACTATGATATTAATGGACTTTTTACAAACAAAGAGAGATTTAACCAAAAAATATTTTACTTTATAATACTAAGGGAGATTTAACCAAAAAATATATTACTTTATAATACTAAGGGAGATTTAACCAAAAAATATATTACTTTATAATACTAAGGGAGATTTAACCAAAAAATATATCTTTATACTAAGGGAGATTTGACCAAAAAAAAGACACTATGATATTAATGGAGTTTTAACAAACAAAGAGAGATTTAACCAAAAAATATATTACTTTATAATACTAAGGGAGATTAACCAAAAAATATATTACTTTATAATACTAAGGGAGATTTAACCAATATATATATATATATATATATATATTAAATACTAAGGGAGATTAACCAAAAAATATATGATACTATGATATTAAGGGAGATTTAACAAACAAAGAGAGATTTAACCAAAAAATATATTACTTTATGATACTAAGGGAGATTTAACCAAAAAATATATGATACAATGATATTAAGGGAGATTTAACAAACAAAGAGAGATTTAACCCAAAAATATATTACTTTATAATACTAAGGGACATTTAACCAAAAAATATATGACACTATGATATTAAGGGACTTTGAACAAACAAAGAGAAATTTAACCAAAAAATATATTACTTTATAATACTAAGGGACATTTAACCAAAAAATATATGACACTATGATATTAAGGGACTTTTAACAAACAAAGAGAAATTTAACCAAAAAATATATTACTTTATAATACTAAGGGACATTTAACCAAAAAAAGACACTATGATATTAAGGGACTTTTAACAAACAAAGAGAGATTTAACCAAAAAATATATTACTTTATAATACTAAGGGAGATTTAACCAAAAAATATATTACTTTATAATACTAAGGGAGATTTAACCAAAAAATATATTACTTTATAATACTAATGGAGATTAACCAAAAAATATATTACTTTATAATACTAAGGGAGATTTAACCAATATATATATATATATATATATATATATTAAATACTAAGGGAGATTAACCAAAAAATATATGATACTATGATATTAAGGGAGATTTAACAAACAAAGAGAGATTTAACCAAAAAATATATTACTTTATGATACTAAGGGAGATTTAACCAAAAAATATATGATACAATGATATTAAGGGAGATTTAACAAACAAAGAGAGATTTAACCCAAAAATATATTACTTTATAATACTAAGGGACATTTAACCAAAAAATATATGACACTATGATATTAAGGGACTTTTAACAAACAAAGAGAAATTTAACCAAAAAATATATTACTTTATAATACTAAGGGACATTTAACCAAAAAAAGACACTATGATATTAAGGGACTTTTAACAAACAAAGAGAGATTTAACCAAAAAATATATTACTTTATAATACTAAGGGAGATTTACCCATAAAATATATGACACTATGATATTAAGGGACTTTTAACAAACAAAGAGAAATTTAACCAAAAAATATATTACTTTATAATACTAAGGGAGATTTAACCAAAAAATATATGACACTATAATATTAAGGGACTATTAACAAACAAAGAGAATTTTAACCAATAAAATGTATAACATTTTTAATACTGAGGGACATTTAAATAAAAAAAAAAAAAAAATCTTTGAAATGCTGACCAAAAACAACCACTAACTTACTAAGTGAATTACAAAAATATATTATATTATGATACTAAGGGATATTTAACAAACAAATGGACATTTAACCAAAAAATATTTAACACTATGATATTACCATTGCATTTACCAAAGAATGTACTTAAAGAACAACAAAAATGTATGACATTATGATACTAAGGGACATTTAACAAACAAAGGAAAATTTTACCAATACAATATATAACATTATGATACAAATGGACATTCAACCCCAAAAATATATGATACTATGATACTAAACGACATTTAACAAAAAAAAAAAAATTAAATGCTGACCAAAATTTTGTAATCATGTGCTGTATTTACTAAAAAAATGTACTTAATGAACAATTAAAACACTAATGGACATTCAACTAATAACAACTGAATTATGAAAAATCTGCTCAATGAGGTATTGTTTGTGACAAGGTTTACCTGTTAAAAAACACATTAATTATACCATTATAAGAGGCAAAAGGCAATTGATATAAATTTTTACATCATTCAGAATTTTTTTTTGAGATATCTATATATATATAAATATATATGCTACATGTATATTGGTAAATGACGAGAATTATATTGCATTTAAGTAAAATATCCATGTGCAAGAAAAATTATTTGGTATTACATTTTGAAGAATAATTATGGGTATTGTTGGTAGTTATGGACCTCCAGCAACTGCCACTGCAATTCGTTTCTGATATTTTTCCCTTTTTCTCTCATTCCATTCATGTAAAAAAAACTGCAGATAAAAACAAAAATGTTCCTGGGTCATTTGGCGTGCTGAGGACTTAATACACTGGATAAAGCTGTTGAATTGTTCACATATTTCAGAGTTTATTGTGTCAAATCCTTGGAGTCTTGAAGATCTATAGGCACATGAGCATTTATGAGAATACCCATGGAAAATATCATGGAAGAAACGAACACATCGGTAATAGCCACTTTCTCTGTTCAGGCAATACTCCTGTAGATTACAAGCAAAATCATAGAAGATATCCGTGGGTGGATGCTCCAGATGTGAGTAAAGGGAGGCTGATGGATCTTTTCTGCCTTCTGCATTGGTCATATGAAAACCATAACAGTGACCATGACTTGGACAAAACCATAAAAACAATGTTGATGTACCTCTTGCTGAATTTTGGGTTTTGGAAAAATATTTCTCACAGTTGTCATGGGGAAGAGGTGGGTCATCATATGCTGGGTTTTTTCTCTTCTCACCGTCAATGGTAAATTTTCTAACGGGGCGCAATTTTTCACCAGTTTCTGAAAAGTAGTAAGCTCTTCCATACTTAGCTGGGTTATATGTTCCTGGTTGTGGATTTGCAGGATCTGGTTGAGTGATCTCCATATCTGCAACACATTTGATCAAATATCGAATAAATGTAATGACATCATCGGGAACAAAATTATTTCCTTGAGGATTGGTATGACTAAGCATGGATGAAGCAATCAAATCTCTTAATTCTGGAGCATACTCTCTCATTTCATACATTTTTCTGTTGTAAAAGCCATTTCCAGCAGCATTTATATTAAGGCCACTAATGTGGTCTAATAACTCAGTTAGATTATTTAAGTACGAATAGGGAATTAAACTGATAACTGGTGCAGTAGTGCAAAGCATATGCAATATGAAGGCATAAGATATCTTTTCCACATCTGGCATGTTATTAAGTAAGCGTTCGAAAGAAGGCCTTACTGAGTTGTCCAATATTTCTAGTAGTATGTTGTTTCTCTGCTGAGTTTCTTCATCAGATAATATTTCCTGAGGTGGAACTTTATCAAGGTTTAACTTCGCTAAGTAGTTCAAATGGTGTCTGGCAGTATTAAGTTGTTCTTTATCTCCAACTCTGTCGAAAAGGAAGCATCTTGCCATTCTACGATGTAATGTAGGAAGTGTATTGTCAGGATTATCTGGTTTACTTATTTCATCAAAAGAAGCATGTCTGAATCCAATACCAACTTTCGTTCCATCACAAGCAAGTTGTTTAGGTCTAAATTTGTAGATAGGACAAGGTTTATAAAGTCAATCTTCATATTAGATGCCCAACTAAACCACCACTTTATGAATACAGATGAATCCATAAATGACCTGAAATTAGGATTGCATTCTTTGTAGTCTTTAGTTTTTAAATCACAGAATGCTGAAAAGGTTATTTTAGTGGACAAAACCTGGTTTACAAATGCCCAACCAATTTCATCTCCAGCTGCAGTATCTCGGGTAACTACATGTAAACATTCTTTATCTCCTTCATCCCAGTCTTTTTTATATGGTGATTCTTCATTAACACAGCTTCTGCTATATACCTGACACTGTACTGGTGCTATTTTTGTATAGATAGTGAGTACTCTGGAAAATGTAGTTACACCATTTAGCTGCTGATTACTTGTCCATCCTGCGCCACATGGACAAACTGAAGTTGGAATATCTGGAATAAGATGTGGACCTTTAATGCATCCATTTTCAACATTGTTAAAGTTAAGAGCGCCCAATATATAACGATGTTGTATATTCTGAACTAGATTGGGATCTTGTTGTTTTCGTGGTTTATGACTACTTATGCATGGAAATGACCAAAGTCCACTAGTCACATCAAAATTAGAGTCACAGGAATTCATTGTAGGAATTTCTTCTTCCATGTCATTGCCAGTAATTTCTTGAATTTCCTGGTCAATAAGCTGTATATTCTCATCATTTTCAGTGTTCACTGCAGCTTCAGGTTTGCTAAATTCTGTCCAAAAATGAGGAGCTTTCTTCAGCTCAGACAAATGAACACATAAATTTTGATCAGTATTAAGACAGTCAACATTTTTCTTGCGAACTTTTTTACTTTTACATAATCCATTCAAGCAGGAAACTATATAGCGCTGAAGACGTGAATTGAATGTCAAATGAACTAATGAAATGTCATCATCTATCAAAATTGAAAATTTTTTGGTTCCTGGTCTTGTAGTTGGCAATTCAATAATTTTCCTATCCTTGTATAACAGAGCATCTTGTATGACTACTTGAATGTTTGTTACGGTTGCTTGCTCATTCCTTTCCAAATTTGGTGATACCTCTTGATGCAAAAAACGACAATGCATGCATTTAATACCATTTTCATCCAGAGCATCAAACTGTTCCATATTGTTATCCAGGGATTCCAACAAGGTACGATAGATACGACAGTTGCAAGTGTAAAAATAACCGTTCTCGAAAAGATCCCTTGATGTTTTTACATAATCAGAGCTTCTAAATTCCCCACTTTCATCATCATAATCATTCATAATTGCAATAACTTTCTCTTCATCGTAAACCTGGATAATAAAACTTCGATTCTGTAAAAGATTTTTCTTGTAGTTATCATATAAATTTACTTTTTTGAACATATTTTCCACATTTTGTCCTGAAATAGTCTGCAAAGCCATTTCTTTTGTCAGAATTTTCTTCCGTGGAATAAATGTCCTTGTTCTTTTTGTTTGAGGTTCTCCAGTGGGATCATTCATATTTTGGTTATTTATGTTTTCTTGATTCTGGTCTTCTTGTTGGAAAGATGAGTAAATGGTTTGAAGTTCATTCAGCTGATGATTTTTGTACAAGTACAATACCCGATTTCTCAAAGAGGTGGCCTTTGGACTTGTTGAAAATCTGTAATGATAGCGCAAATTTTCTTTTCCAAGGAATCTGTTGTGATCATTTGATAGAAAGTTAATCATGCAACTTTTGTAACATAGGTTATTAACATTATTAACAGGGAGAGGCTTCATAAAGTCATCTGAGCATTTGTCACTAACTTCTGCATTTTTCACTTCTGGGTAATGAAGTATCTTGTTTTGTATGATTTCTGTGTGGAATAGTTCATTGTTAGATGAAAAGTAAAGACCATCACTGGCATCTGAATCTATCTTAACTTTATAACCATGTCTAGCAGTGTGCACAAAACAAGCAGCTAGTTCAATGTCACAAAAGTCTTTAACTTTTTCACACAATTGTTGTCTTCTAGATTTTAAGCTCTTTAAATTGTTGGCATAAATTTTGTCAGGGCGTGTTCTAGATTTTCTTGAGTCCTTGTTTTTCTTTTCGATGAGCATTCTCTGCTGATCTCCACCAGTTAGGATGTTGCATAAGAATACATTATCTTGCAGAATTCCTAAAGTTTGACATATTACATCCAGAAAAGTCTCCTCCATGAAATGTTTGTAATATCCTGATTCTATGTATCGTATATAATGTACAGGTGCATTGTGATTTTCAATCTCAATATCAAAGATTGAAAAAATGAAAACTCCTTCAGAGCAGTCTGGATAAGTTGACATATTAATAGCAGCTTCCTCAAATAAAAATAGACAATTATTTGGATCAAGAAATTTCATATCTTGCATTTTGCTGATTATATTATGTTCCACCAAAATAGCCTGTCTACACATATTTAAGTTTGTTATTAGATCATTAAGGTTTTGAATGCTGGAGGCTACGTATTTTCTCTTCTTAGAGTTGCTTGAGATATACTTCCTTGTTACTATTTCTGTTTCATCTCTGAGTGTAAATTTTACTGTACTCTGATTGGTACCTGTCAGCTCAGGACGGTTTGTGACAATAACCTGTTGACTTGAGCGTGTCATGTTAGAGTTCAAGACAGCCAATTGATCAATTCCCTGGATTGTCAGCTCTGTGGTATTACCATTAGTAGAAGTTGAGGGTTTAGTTTCTGATTGACTAGCTGTAGTATCACTCATGGTTTCAACCTTTTGTTGAAAGGCAGATACTAATCTTTCATAATTTTCTGGATTCTCTGTCTGTAATTGTAGTACATAAAGCTGATGATCTTTAACAGTATACGGGTACTGAGATGGCATACTAAATTCTTCATCTAACAATGGGAGTCCTAACTTAATTTTCTGCAACAAAAATAAGTATAAATATATATATATATTACATATATGTGTGTGCATTATAACATATCGTATTTGTTTTTAGTATTTGAGACATCTTATAATGCAAATTTCTGATATTAAATTAATACATGTAGGTTCTTGATGGCAGATTTATTTTCTATTGTGAAGGTCATTAATGAACATTTAGGCATACCAATGATAAATTAAATATAATATTTGCTGAAATAATGAACATAATTGCTGAAAGCTGTAGGGTGACCTATAGTTTTTAATTTTCTATGGCAATCTGTCTCTTGTGGAGAGTTGTCTCATTGGCAACCATACTGCATCTTCTTATTTTTATATTCTGTAAACAATACATATCTGTTTTTCGTTATTTTTTTTTAAAATATATCAGACTGTTTTTTAATTTAACATTTTTCATGTTGTGCCCTTTTAAAGCTAACTATATTGTATAGGTATTGCTCATTGTTGAAGATTGTAGTGACTTTTAGTCGCTAAAATCTACATTCTTTCGACACTGTTTGATAGTTGTTTCATTGTCAATCATACTACATATTTCAAATACTAATAAATAAAAAATTGATATGGAATATGCAATGTTGAATGATTGTACAAAAGTGGTTTTTTTTATTTTTATATTAGGCTGAAATGGACATAACCTCACCAAATTAGGAGGACACAAGTGAAGATCAGTACAATTCTCTGAAAACTGTCCTGAAGGAAGTGCTCTTCCCCATTCTTCAATTGACTGAAAAGTAAACTGTTCCTACAAATAAAAATGCTTTAAAATCAATGTCTCCGCATTATTTAAAGAAAATTGGTACAATTTACATGGTAATATATATAATATGATCTCCATTGATTGAGACATAACAATTAGCCTCATGCAATACAAAGATACTTTCTTTTTTTTCTTTTGGGTGAAATTATGATGTTCTTTTATCTATTTTCTTTTCCCTAAATAACTTGTGAAACTAGTAATTGCAAATAGTCTTAGATACATGTTTTTTATTAGTTATTTTTGGCTTTGATCTAGTTTTCAGTATTAAACTCTGAGTACTCTCAAATCTATACTTTGTGTCTTTTGTGTTTTTGTCAGTTTTTTGGCGCTTTGTATCAATCAGATGAGTTAAGTCCTTTTCAACTGTTACTTATATCTTGTTCTGATGTTGTACTGTTATACCACTGTCCCAGGTTAAAGTGGAGGGGGTTGGGTGGGGTTTGGCTCCAGCAAACATGTTTAACGTCGCCATATTCTGTATGTATTTGTGCATGTCCCAAGTCAGGAGCCTGCAATTCAGTGTTAGTTGTTTGTTGCTGTATATCATATTTGTTTTTCATTTATTGTTTGTACATATATAAGGCTGTTAGTTCTCTTGTTTGAATTGTTATATACTTTTCACTTCAAGCCTTTCATTCATAGCTTCATCTGCGGTATGGGTTTTGATCATTGTTGAAGGCCGTATGGTGACCTATAGTTGTTAACTTCCACATCATTTGGTCTCTGGTGGAGAGTTGTCTCATTGGCAATCATACCACATCTTTTTTATTTTTATATATAATTTCAATTAAAATCTGTACCAAGTATATATGTTGTAGCACATGAATTTCCAGTTTGTACTGTTCATTTGGACAACAATATACACATTCTTCCCATTGGCAAAGAATTCCAGGATGAATGTGCGAAATCACGTGCTGGGCTAATAGACGAATATCAGCGAACTTGTCCTCTGTACACTGCTCCCACTTGCACTTCAGCTGAAAGAAAATAAAAGGATATATAATAAACAAATAGTTATAGAAGTTTATATACCTGAAAATCACTTCATAAAAATTATATGAACCTATACAACATGTATTTCATATATCTGTTATATCATAAAAAAACATAAATGTATTGGGCATCCGCTGTCTGATTTTTTTTAGGAAGTTGTTGTATTCTCCATTGTTATTATCCTGTACATGTTATAGTCAAATAGGGTTTTTAATTAAATTGTCATAAGTGGACATATTGGTTAAAAAATCATGTAATATAAATATATTTTACATCTACCATTGTAGGTCCTGGATTTTCTTCAACATCCCCACAGAGATGCAGGATAAACCTTTTGAAGTTCTTCCAACATCTGATTGCCAAAACCTTCACTGTTGTTAGTGCAAACTCTATTCTTGTGGGACTACTAGACTGTACTTCCTCACTCTCTGCAAAATCTATTGTTGTTGGAATACTACACTCCACTTCATCACTCTCTGCAAATTCTATTGTTGAAATACTACACTCCAGTTCATCACTCTCTGTAAACTCTATTGTTGTTGGAATACTACACTCCACTTCATCACTCTCTGTAAACTCTGTTTGTGATGGAATAATACAATCCACTTCATAACCCTCTGTAACAATAAAGGACTTGCTTAGAAATTTGTTCAATTGACCTAGACCTAGCTGATTTGCTGGCTTCAGAATTTTATAATCAATATATGACTGGAAGTGGTGTGATTTCGAAAATTAAGCTTAAATAGGGACATAGCACACAAATAATATATTAATAATAGAGCATAAATGTTGCAATCTAGCTTTTAAATGTAACTGTAGACAAGGAAAAAATAAAATAGCACCCTAATTTGAAAGGTAAGATACACAAAATGCACAAGGGAAAAAAGACGCATCTTTTTGAGTGAAGCCCATACTATTTCATTTGTAATAAGTCTATTGCAATATTAAATATAGTGGAAAAGATTATGTCATCCAATACATTAAAATTCCTAAAACACTCTTACCTATGTATACACTACCATATGCTATGTGTTTATCATTCTCGTCATAGGAACTCCTAAGCTCCTCTACAGGTTCCTCAGTTATTGGTACCTAGCAAAATAAAAAAGTATTTTTTTCAAAAACCTAAATAAATTTGTAAAAAGGTATCTATAAGTAATAAATTGTCAGATTGGTACATGCATTTCTTCTCTTTTTTCCTTGTGTATATAGAAACAACCAATAATTCAAACATTTCTTTTATACCGCACAAAATAATTACAAAAACTAATTCACCACATTTTCAAATGATTATCACCAGAAATAATGAATTCCAAACATTACAAACCTGAAGAGAAAGATCTTTGACTAAGTGAGTTTTGCCTGGAAAAAAAAAAAAAGACATCATAAGTTTTAACATATACATATCTATTTGCATTCAGCAATCCTATTCGACTGTACATATCATTCATTTTCTAGAGGTGTGCAAGCATAGGAAATTTAAATATATTTAATACCAGTAATATCTTAAATAACTTAGAAAGTGCCTATGAGAAATTGTTTACTCTTTTGGATCACCAAAGTTAATCCATATTTTTGAGATTAAATAATATTCATTCTTGAAATACAGAATTATCAGTTTAGTAAATTATTTTTTTATCTCAATATAAAAAAATGTGGATAGTGTCCACATGTGGACACAGATGATGCCCCCGCTTGCATATCATATAGTTATAAAGGGACATAACTGAAGAACGGTAAAAGTGACACTACCCAAATTTGAACTTGATCTGAGTTTTGTGGTAATAAGCATTGTGTGTAAGTCTCATAACATTTGGTTGAGGCTAACTTAAGTAGAGAACAGAAACTAAAAATTCAGCAATTTTTCTATTTGTAATGATGCATAACTCTAGAACGGTTGTGTATAAGTTTTACAACATTTGGATGAGACAAACTAAAAAATTCAGCAATTTTTATGTTTATAATGGGACATAACTCTAGAATGGTAAAAGTGTTGCCACCTAATTTCGTACTTAATCTGTATTATGTAGTAATTAGCATTGTGTATAAGTTTCATAACATTTGGTTGAGGCAAACTCAAGTTAGAGAACTGAAACAAAAAAAAATGTACTTGATCTTTACTGAGTTTTGTTGGAATGAATATTGTGTATAGGTTTCACAATCTTTGGCTGGGGAAAACTTCAGTTACAGAATGGAAACTAAAAAATTTTGCAATCTTTCTATTTATAAAGGGGCATAACTCAATAATGGTTAAAGTGACACTACCCAAATTCAACTTGATCTGTGTTTTATCAGTGGTAGTCAAAATTAAACATTGCATTGTATAAAGCATTGATTGTAGTTGATTCAACTATAATCATGGTCAAAGGAAGATAACTCCAATTTTAAAAATATATTATATAAACTTGATATTTAGAAGAAAATAAAAATTTTGCAATTTTTCCTTTTATAAAGGGGCATAACTCTAGATCGGTTAAAGTGACACCACCAAAATTCAAACTTGATCTGTGTTTTGTGGTAATAAGCATTGTGTATAAGTTTCATAACATTTGGTTGAGGCAAACTTAAGTTAGAGAACGGAAACTAAAAATTATGCAATATTTCCTTTTATAAAGGGGCATAACTCTAGATCGGTTAAAGTGACGCCACCAAAATTCAAACTTGATCTGTGTTTTGTGGTAATAAGCATTGTGTATAAGTTTCATTACATTTGGTTGAGGCAAACTCAAGTTAGAGAACGGAAACCAATTTCGGGACGTACGTACGTACGTACGTACGTACAGACGGACAAGGGTAAAACTTAATGCCCCCTCCGGTACGGCGGGGGCATAAAAACAGTAATAAAAACAAACTGTAAGGGTATCTAGTCCATGTATGTTCAGTTCATTGTCTAAAATTGTGAGGTGTCTTTTTTCTGTGAGGTGTTGCTTGCCTTGTAACAATTGTTTTTATAGTTCCTATTATATCATATGTATGTGTGATAACTGAATATTTATAATATAGTAAAATAAACGGACTGAAGTAATCTGCATATTTGAAAACATACAAACGGATTTCTGTGAGGACTAAATACATTTTTAAATGTGCTTAATTAATATATACTCATTCCTGTTCCTATTATAATACATTATACCCAGGGAAGGCACTTTAATACTGCTCATACTGGTCCTGAGAAGTCTCATTCAATCCTATATTAATCCTAATATTGACCACTATAATGTAAAAATGCCTATTGTGTGATTTCAAAAATCATTCTATATACCAAAAATATCATAACTGAAAAGCACAATACTTAAATTATAAGAAGTTTTAATACCAAACCTTTTTTAGCATGACAGCAAATAACATGGTCTATCAGAAAATCTTCTCTGGAGCATATTACTGGACAAACAGGACAATTATAAGTGCTCTGAAACAATATTGCATATTGAACTTTAAATGAACAACTTTTGATATATCATACATCTATCAATCTGGTATGATTTGCAAATTTCAATATCTGTAGGTAAACAAGATTAAATACCACCTTCCTCTGGATGTCTGGTAAAAAAAATCAAACACCCACAAAAAAACAAAATACTGACAGTAAAATAATGTTTAAAAGCAGAAAATAATCATGTCAGTACAAAAACTATTGTATCTGCCTTTTCTGTTCAATCTATTAAAAAATTAATATAGACGCAAGATAGAAATACACCGAATTCAAAACGTTTACATAGATTATTTAAAAAAAATTCTAATTAACTTATGTTATTATTTGGTGTAAATATTTGAACTGAATAGAAACTATGTAACAAGATTACTTTTTTTTCTTTCTTAGTCACAGCTGTTTTCTTTGATTGCTTCACTTGTAAGGATTCCACAGATTGCTTTTTCGTGTCAGTCTAAAATAAATGCAATAATTATTCAAATATCTTCCTTTTTGCAATAAAATGAATATTCAAGTCCAATAATTCAGTACATTTCCTATGATATTACAGGGTAACTGAATAATTTAAGCTTTATAGAAATAGTAACTTAACAAAATCAAGCACAAGAAAGTATTAAGGATAGAGTAACAAATGTATTCAAGCAACATTGTACTTGCGACTTATTGTATTCTTTAAATGTTTTTGCCTTTGAATTCAAAAATTATGTCTCATTAATCTTTCTATATAATTTGTAGGGATTAAAAAATTAAATGTTGAGATAAATGATATTTTAATTTTCTGCATTTCAATATCAGCATAAGTCTTTAAGTAAACAAAACAATACCTGATAGAAACTATGAATGACTGAGGATGACAAGATAACAGCCAGATCCTCAGTAACATCTAGGACTATTTCATTCCTCTTTAAACTGTATCTATAAGAAGTGGAAGTAGAATTAGAAAAGTATAACAGTTTAAAACTATGAAGAGATTTAAGTTGTGGTACAATCTTGGATTAAAGGATTTTGTTATTCATATTTCATTGTTTTCAACCTTTTTTTAAGCATGTACAAATGAATCTTCTGCAATACAATATAAATTCAAATGTGCTATAGTATTTATATATACATCATATGTGTACTTGTTTTCAGACTTCTATATAACCTCTCCTTTAAAGTAAAAGCTCCTTGATAGTATTTAAAATTAGAAACACTAAAATTGTTGTTGCCTCATGAAGTTTTGTTGCAATTTTTTTTAACATGCAAGCATTTAAAACACTTGAATATTAACTTTTAAAAAGCATGCCATGGTATTTAGTGTGCATTTAAAATAAAATTAGAATAATTAAACTTATAACGATAAATTTCCAAAGTTTTCTTCAACATCATGCATTCATGCTAGTAAGATATCAATGAAGTTTTAAACCACAAAAATACTTCATTCAAGTAATTACAAGTGAAAAAAATATCAACTTTTTATAGGCATGCCATGGTATTTAGTGGTCATTTAAAATTAATTAGAATACTTCAACTTATAACGATTAACTTTCAAAGTTTTGTTCAACATCATGCATTCATGTTAGTAAGACATCAATGGAGTTGTAAATCAAAAAACTTCTTCATTCAAGTAATTACAATAACAAAAACACATTAAAAGGTAACACAATAATGCAATGATGACAAACCCTGTTTTATAAGTTCCTCTTGGTTTTCTGTGAGACTAAATTAAGAAGGTAATGAAAACAAATAAAGTTATATAATTTTTGTTCAAATCATTTAAGGATGTTTGCTAGTCTTTGTTTTTGACAGATATTGGTAATCCTCTGGTTTTATTCACATGTAGTTCCATCAAAAAGTTAGAATGCTAACTCCGTCTATTCTTTTCCGAATTTATAACATATAGTTTAAAAAGCCTTTTATTTTTATTTTACATAGTTTTTAAAAGAAAAAGGTGCTAATGTTAAATGTATGGAAAATCTAGAGAGAATAAATTCCCACCAAATTTTAAATGGCTTACATCTTAAAAACAAGGACACAAACCTTTAATCAGTTATGTTTTTTTAACTTATTTATATACTATAAATTTATAAGTCTTTTAAAAAATATAGCACCGAACTTTGTTAACATCCCATCTTTATTAATTCAAAATACATATATACATATAAATTATGACAGGTATATTTTCCCATGAAATGTCAATAAAATGTATGTTAGCAGCCCTATATTTTTTTTTTATCTATTAGCAATTTATCCTATAACTTTAAATTAGGGTCTATCATAGCTGCTTATGAACTTATAGAGAATCTATGATTTTATGATATTATCTTTGTTTTGTATTATAAAATGATATTTTCTATTTTAATAGAAATTTTAATCTATAGTACAAATTTTAATTTTTCACTTACTCTTTTATTATTTGATCTTCTTGCCCCAGCTGAAGACAATCTCTTCCTCTTAGAAGGGGTTCTAGAGGAATTCTGATGTTCAGCATCCTGTAATAAACATTCAAATGTAATTCTCAACATCAATCAAAGACAAATGTTAATACATGTACATATCATATAAAATCAGCAGTTACATAAACCTGGGAACAGTATGTCTAACGGGAAATGAATCGGATAGGCTTTCCAGTATAAAATTGATAAAATCTCGGACTCCTCGAGACTTCGCAAGATTTATGGATTTTGGTGGCGTCTGACTGAAAATTTATCGGAACTGCTCAATAAAGTAATCACATAATTCTAATCGTAAATAAATACAAGTTTTATCATAAAGTAGATATATTTTGTCATATAAAATGACCAAAATAAGTGTGATTTTTTTTATATGAAGTGTTTTATAATGTTTTTGAATTTGGGAATACAATCGGCGCCATTTTTTTAATACCGTTTGCATTCTGTACCATTCTGTGATAAAATGAATGCAATTATAACAAACTTGAAGTGACAGAATACAAGTTTGATACAACTGTAAAACTAGTTTGAATGACATTTTATTGATATTATCAGAAATTATTAGGATAATAGCGAGTACGTTTTTGAAACATGTCCGTTTCCGTATCGTATCTTTATTACCTATGACATGACGATAAAATTGGCTACAATTAGGTAGTGTCAAGTCCCGTCAATATATATGTTCCTGCATAAACAGTAAGGAAACTGTTTCAATTGTGTTAACTATAATAAACACTTCACAAAAAGATAATATTCAGAGTAAATCCATTATTTTGTAATACTTATGTCATTATCATGTTATGATTTGTTTATAATTCCATTTCTTATCTAGTTCATCAACATGTACAATGAACAAATGTACTTTTATTTTTTTCAAAGGCAGAGCCTGCATTTAAAAACCTGAATTAAAATGCCAGGGAGACCATTTAAAAAATATCATAGAAAATCAAATGTTAATTTCTAACAAGTTATTTGTCAGACATGCAAGATAGTGATAGACAAATACAAATATGCTTTCATCTATTCTTATACACAATCTATTAAATACCGTGTCAAAAGGTCTCTTTCCTGTATCAGAAGAAGGTACTGGTAGTCTCACCACTTCTGCATAGGTCATCTTGGGTGACAAAGATTCTACATCAGGTACATGTACGTGAGATAAAGTTGCAGTCACGGATGTAACACACTTTTGTCTCTCTGCTAAATAGTTCTCTATAGTCATCTTCAAAATAAAAGCTCCATTTCTATTTACATGAAGTCCGTCCCTTCCAAGATGAACAGCAGGTTTAAAGAGCTGTGCATAATCAATAAAAAAACATCTACTGTAACCACAAGTTAAAGACTGTATACCAGCGTTCAATTTCTCGACATCTCTCTGCAGTCTTGGCAATGCTGACATGTTCCAATAACTACTCTCATAGTGGTTTACTGCACGGGGAAGTATGCCACAAATACCTATTTGCAACGATTTAAATTTCAGCAGCAAATTCTCTATCAGGAATCTATAAGATCTAAAGACAAAATAAGAAACTTGTACATGAGGCAAATAATATTCATCATATTCTTTATAGTAAATAAGATTATTCAACCTATTGTTTATAATTAAAAGGTAAGCTATATCTGCCAAATTCATTACCATTAGAAACTAGGTAATTTTATATTATATATAACAAATGTTTCTTTGAAATCAATAATAATCAGCCAATCAAATTACATGATTTGTCAAAGATCTCAAATAATTATCGGTTACCATTATTTTGGGAAAGAATTTAATGTGTTCGGCCAAATTCATTCATTTTTTTTTATCGTCATAAAAAACATGTAAATTTTATCGTAATCATGGTAATGCACCAAAAACATCATTTGGCAAGAATTTTTAACATTGTTCATCATGAAGGTCCCCTATTACGAACCTCATGATTGCTTACATACACTACATTTGAACTTTGGTGGATAGTCATCTAATGGGAAATTATACCTCATCTCTTTTATTTTTATATAGTATCAGCAAACAGGTTTACAATACACCAATCTCGAGTTGTTTTTTAATGAATGAGCAACGCTGGTTGACACGGGGTCAATCAGCATAAATGATGTCATTGAACAATCCGTTTTTACTGTGACGTAATAACATAATCATACACCTTATCGATATTTGGAAATCTGCGCCAGTGGGCCTGAGAATCTGCGCCGCTTTAACTTTTGATGTCATACAACAATCACTTTTCCATTGTGGCGTCAAAATTTCACAGGAACCTTTGTGATGTCCAGTAATGGCGGACAAATAGCGATTAGGTGTATTGTTACATACTAAATGGGATTTTAAGGGAAGTGCACAAATCGAAAGTTGACTACCGGTATAAATTTTTGTATTTGTTTTTTTTAAACCTCCTTACCTCAAAGTTGATTCAACATCACCAAATACATCATTCGAACCTAGATGCAGAACAATCTGGTCCGGGTTTTCTGTCTTCATGGCACTCATCAGTTGGGAATAGAATTCTTTCCGGTCATTCTGTACTTTGGCACCAGGTATGCACAGTGTTCTAACTGGGTATTCAAACATTGGTACAAGCTGCTTCAGGTTGGAATCCCCTGCAATTAAAACGCTTCTCAAAACTTTATTAAGGTTAGTGTTGAACATTTCTATAATATAAGTATGAAACAATATCGATCAAAATTATATGTTAAAAAATTTAAATACTACAAAATTCCTTCAACTGCAGGCAAATACAAAACACTAAGACGTAACAATCAAAAGGACTATATTCTGTGTCAATAAAAAACTTAGCTGGCTACTTTATGTCTCGTTTTATGTACAACAATTATTTACAAATATATACAAATATATTTTCAGAAATAATTTTGGTTTTGGTACCAAAAGATTTAGACAGAAAAATACGCTATCGTCGTAGTTTTCTTGCTAGTTTGTCTCAAAAATACGATGCCGTATAAAAGAGGAAATATATATATACACAGACTCTCAATATCTATTCAGATATATTATCAAAATGTCGACAAAATATAGCTTTTTCTTTATCGCAGTGGTAAGAAATGTGTCGGAAGATGGACGCTGTAGGATGCAGCATTGGATGATGGGAGTTTGAGAGCACCATGTATCCTTTTAGCAGCCAATGAAAACCGCCGTCGCAACTTAACCTAATTTAAATATTAATTTGGGCATATGCAGAATATTTCCCATCCGACCTCTGGAATGCCCAAAAATGCCGCATGACCCTATGTTTTTATTGTTGCAAATGATAGGGCTACATTTGTACTTTCATGAATGATATATGAATTTTTCTAATTTCTAAAAGTAAATCAGGTATAAATTTAATTCAAGACATAGATTAGCATTACAGTCAATGGGAGATTTTTTACTGAATTTACCCCTATAGGAAAATATGCATTCTGTCACTGTACTTGTCCAAGGCCACACAATAATCACAAAACTTATTTCCTGTGTATATTAATGTAATGGAAGCATTTTGGAACCATTTGAAGTTGTTTTTTACACAAATTTCTATGTTTAACTCGGCTATCCAAGATGCACTGAGTGTACTGTGAGAGGAAGCATGGGGTATATGGTAAAAATCAGTTTTTGTGTCCAGATTGAAAGAAACAATAGAAATTACACTTGAGAGTTATGATATCAATGAAAGGCATAAATATTCCCCACATTTTACAACACATTTTGCACATATTTCTCCTCATTATGTGTAAAATCATATGGAAAATCAGAATTACCTCCCTTTGACAGTGTATTTTTTTTAGCTGTGTTTCACCATGTTAAGTTGTAGAACAAGTTGTAAATAAGCACTTTTCAAGTATTTTAACACTTGAATAATCTGACCGCATGAAGATATTCATTTATTTTTACATAACGCATTGCGTTTCTTTATTTAAAAAAAATTGTAGATAACTTTTATGATTACATGCCCATCATCTATGAAACTAGTGTTGAAATGTTTGTAATTGGATTACTATGTTAAATAACTGCTTTTAAATATTCTAAATTGTTGCTTTAATCTTCCAAATGCAAAGTTTGGTCATACCCAGTCTTATTTTTTCATATTTGGCACTTTTTTCTACTTCAGTTTTGTCTGTCTAGTTTTGGCGAAGAAACCATCCTGATGTTGGGGTAACAGGAATTTCTGCAGAGTGATTGTCAATGACATTTTGTGAACTTTACAAGTAATTAAAACACAAATTTAGTAAAATGAAACATAATTGTTTGTTTTTTTTGTATGAAACTGCTTAAAAAAGCCTTTGAAAAGTGTTTTTGTGGTCTTTTCAGGGTATTTAATCAAAAACTTCCATATAAGGCAAAATTTAACTAAGAGTACATCAAGACTTTAGTTTCTAGATGTACTTGCAATACTGGTCAAAGCAAACACAGAAAACAATTCATATTTATTAAGCATAGTATTTTACACCATTCTTTTACAAACAGTCAATATGCAACTTTATATACCAAATATACATTGGCCGCAGTATGGGCTGTAGTATAAATTTTCCTCTATCTTTACAAGTTCAGCATTTATGAATGTTGTATTGAAACTGGAACTTTAAAATTGGATACATTACATGATTATTACAAAAAAAGAGGGAAAAGCTACTAAAAAGTCCCTTATAGGGGTAAATTCAGTAAATAAATATACGTCATCAGGGACCGCCCATTTGGGGGAGAGCTTTCTGTATAAAACTGAAGTCATGTGCTCTTCTGATTGGTAGATAATGTTTGTAATAAATATTTTTTGATAGATGGATAAAAACTAGAGTTGAAAAAAAAAAAAAATAAATGCTGAATGTACTAAATTTTTTTACTACAGGGTTGAAAAGTAATGGGGGTCAGTGAAGGAATTAAGTGCGAATCTACAGTGTTTGTAAACAAGGCCATGTGAATGCCCAAAAATGCCGCATGACCCTATGTTTTTATTGTTGCAAATGATAGGGCTACATTTGTACTTTCATGAATGATATATGAATTTTTCTAATTTCTAAAAGTAAATCAGGTATAAATTTAATTCAAGACATAGATTAGCATTACAGTCAATGGGAGATTTTTTACTGAATTTACCCCTATAGGAAAATATGCATTCTGTCACTGTACTTGTCCAAGGCCACACAATAATCACAAAACTTATTTCCTGTGTATATTAATGTAATGGAAGCATTTTGGAACCATTTGAAGTTGTTTTTTACACAAATTTCTATGTTTAACTCGGCTATCCAAGATGCACTGAGTGTACTGTGAGAGGAAGCATGGGGTATATGGTAAAAATCAGTTTTTGTGTCCAGATTGAAAGAAACAATAGAAATTACACTTGAGAGTTATGATATCAATGAAAGGCATAAATATTCCCCACATTTTACAACACATTTTGCACATATTTCTCCTCATTATGTGTAAAATCATATGGAAAATCAGAATTACCTCCCTTTGACAGTGTATTTTTTTTAGCTGTGTTTCACCATGTTAAGTTGTAGAACAAGTTGTAAATAAGCACTTTTCAAGTATTTTAACACTTGAATAATCTGACCGCATGAAGATATTCATTTATTTTTACATAACGCATTGCGTTTCTTTATTTAAAAAAAATTGTAGATAACTTTTATGATTACATGCCCATCATCTATGAAACTAGTGTTGAAATGTTTGTAATTGGATTACTATGTTAAATAACTGCTTTTAAATATTCTAAATTGTTGCTTTAATCTTCCAAATGCAAAGTTTGGTCATACCCAGTCTTATTTTTTCATATTTGGCACTTTTTTCTACTTCAGTTTTGTCTGTCTAGTTTTGGCGAAGAAACCATCCTGATGTTGGGGTAACAGGAATTTCTGCAGAGTGATTGTCAATGACATTTTGTGAACTTTACAAGTAATTAAAACACAAATTTAGTAAAATGAAACATAATTGTTTGTTTTTTTTGTATGAAACTGCTTAAAAAAGCCTTTGAAAAGTGTTTTTGTGGTCTTTTCAGGGTATTTAATCAAAAACTTCCATATAAGGCAAAATTTAACTAAGAGTACATCAAGACTTTAGTTTCTAGATGTACTTGCAATACTGGTCAAAGCAAACACAGAAAACAATTCATATTTATTAAGCATAGTATTTTACACCATTCTTTTACAAACAGTCAATATGCAACTTTATATACCAAATATACATTGGCCGCAGTATGGGCTGTAGTATAAATTTTCCTCTATCTTTACAAGTTCAGCATTTATGAATGTTGTATTGAAACTGGAACTTTAAAATTGGATACATTACATGATTATTACAAAAAAAGAGGGAAAAGCTACTAAAAAGTCCCTTATAGGGGTAAATTCAGTAAATAAATATACGTCATCAGGGACCGCCCATTTGGGGGAGAGCTTTCTGTATAAAACTGAAGTCATGTGCTCTTCTGATTGGTAGATAATGTTTGTAATAAATATTTTTTGATAGATGGATAAAAACTAGAGTTGAAAAAAAAAAAAAATAAATGCTGAATGTACTAAATTTTTTTACTACAGGGTTGAAAAGTAATGGGGGTCAGTGAAGGAATTAAGTGCGAATCTACAGTGTTTGTAAACAAGGCCATGTGAATGCCCAAAAATGCCGCATGACCCTATGTTTTTATTGTTGCAAATGATAGGGCTACATTTGTACTTTCATGAATGATATATGAATTTTTCTAATTTCTAAAAGTAAATCAGGTATAAATTTAATTCAAGACATAGATTAGCATTACAGTCAATGGGAGATTTTTTACTGAATTTACCCCTATAGGAAAATATGCATTCTGTCACTGTACTTGTCCAAGGCCACACAATAATCACAAAACTTATTTCCTGTGTATATTAATGTAATGGAAGCATTTTGGAACCATTTGAAGTTGTTTTTTACACAAATTTCTATGTTTAACTCGGCTATCCAAGATGCACTGAGTGTACTGTGAGAGGAAGCATGGGGTATATGGTAAAAATCAGTTTTTGTGTCCAGATTGAAAGAAACAATAGAAATTACACTTGAGAGTTATGATATCAATGAAAGGCATAAATATTCCCCACATTTTACAACACATTTTGCACATATTTCTCCTCATTATGTGTAAAATCATATGGAAAATCAGAATTACCTCCCTTTGACAGTGTATTTTTTTTAGCTGTGTTTCACCATGTTAAGTTGTAGAACAAGTTGTAAATAAGCACTTTTCAAGTATTTTAACACTTGAATAATCTGACCGCATGAAGATATTCATTTATTTTTACATAACGCATTGCGTTTCTTTATTTAAAAAAAATTGTAGATAACTTTTATGATTACATGCCCATCATCTATGAAACTAGTGTTGAAATGTTTGTAATTGGATTACTATGTTAAATAACTGCTTTTAAATATTCTAAATTGTTGCTTTAATCTTCCAAATGCAAAGTTTGGTCATACCCAGTCTTATTTTTTCATATTTGGCACTTTTTTCTACTTCAGTTTTGTCTGTCTAGTTTTGGCGAAGAAACCATCCTGATGTTGGGGTAACAGGAATTTCTGCAGAGTGATTGTCAATGACATTTTGTGAACTTTACAAGTAATTAAAACACAAATTTAGTAAAATGAAACATAATTGTTTGTTTTTTTTGTATGAAACTGCTTAAAAAAGCCTTTGAAAAGTGTTTTTGTGGTCTTTTCAGGGTATTTAATCAAAAACTTCCATATAAGGCAAAATTTAACTAAGAGTACATCAAGACTTTAGTTTCTAGATGTACTTGCAATACTGGTCAAAGCAAACACAGAAAACAATTCATATTTATTAAGCATAGTATTTTACACCATTCTTTTACAAACAGTCAATATGCAACTTTATATACCAAATATACATTGGCCGCAGTATGGGCTGTAGTATAAATTTTCCTCTATCTTTACAAGTTCAGCATTTATGAATGTTGTATTGAAACTGGAACTTTAAAATTGGATACATTACATGATTATTACAAAAAAAGAGGGAAAAGCTACTAAAAAGTCCCTTATAGGGGTAAATTCAGTAAATAAATATACGTCATCAGGGACCGCCCATTTGGGGGAGAGCTTTCTGTATAAAACTGAAGTCATGTGCTCTTCTGATTGGTAGATAATGTTTGTAATAAATATTTTTTGATAGATGGATAAAAACTAGAGTTGAAAAAAAAAAAAAATAAATGCTGAATGTACTAAATTTTTTTA